CACAACAACGAACAATATTACAGGTGCCTATACCAAGGGTGCCCAATCCTGTTCCTGGAGATCTACTTTCCTGCATAGTTCAGCAGCAACCTTGATTAAACAAACCTGTCTTTTATTTTCAAGTGCTCCTTCAGATCCTACTTATCTGGTTTAGTTGTTTTTGATCCTGGAATCTGCAGGAAGGTAGATCTACAGGAACAGGATTGGGCACACCTGGTCTACACCAATGGTTCTCAACCTTGTTCCTGGAGCCTCCAACACTGCCTGTTTTGCATATCTCCTTAGTCAGACACACCTGATTCAACTTATTAGCAGAGACTCCAGGTTCACAAATTGTCATGTGAGACAAAAGAGACAAGCAAAATATGTAGGTCAGGACTGAACACAAAATTGTATCAAGTTGAAAAAGCCTCAATTCCAAGGAGGCTCAGTGGACTTTTATTTGTTGTGATTTCAAGATTTTGTTGTGCCTTTCAAAGCAGTGGAGGACTCATGCAAGCACTGCTGGTCCTCACAAGCAATATTATGTTCCCATTTTATGTTTACAAGCTATATTATGGTTCTACCACAGTCTCTGGGCTGCAAAGTCAGTTTAAGTGTGGTGGGTTTACCTGTGTTTTTCCCCAGCACAAGTTACCTTCTGTTAATCTTACACAAGAAAATGAATGGAAAGACAGGTTAAACAGTCTGTGGATATCTGCGGCCTCAGATTTCATGTGGGCCAAGTGAAAATCCAAACGCAAGTGGAGAACTCTAATCAAGTTTAACTTGTCCACATTTGACCACTTCCAGAGGCAGTCAAAAATATACCAGGGGTGCCTGAACCTCGGACCTGGAGTTCTAGTATCCTGCAGAGTAAAGCTCCAACCCCAATTAGACTCACCTGAATCAGCTAATCAAGCTCTTTTAGTCAAACCAGAAGCTTCCAGGCAAGAACTCTACAGGACATCATACCAAGTTTAGGCCCCCCTGCCGTAGACTGTGAAAAAAGATTCTTGTAGTGTCCTTCACATCACACGTAGGTTTCTGAAGAGTGTAGGGCTGTTTCTCAGTTCCAAAAATGCAAAGAACGGACTTGCATTCTTGTGAAGACCGTTCCTGCCAGGTCACCTCGGACTAATGTACTCGGCACACCACCGAGGGTCACTCAAAAAATAAGCAAAAACGAGGGAAAGAGGTAGGCTTTGGAGAGAGCTACAGATGCCTTATTGTAGAGTGAAAAGCTCATCACTTCATAAAACATGATGCATTTGTGTTCTGACCACATGTGCTTGGTTGTATCCTAAATCAATAATGAAAGGGGACTGACAGTTTTAACCCAAAACATGACCAGTCAGACGAAGAAGAGCCAGAAGTAGAGATTCAATCAAAGAAAGTTTACTGAGGATAGTTGCATTTTTTCAGATCTGTAACAATGATCCACAAATAAATAGAAGACACACATGCACACAACAAAGTACAATCTGTTTCATACTCTAGGCCATCTTATCAAAACTGGCACAATCAACATTCAATTTGGCAGCTTGCTACTACACAGATAGTCCATCTTGTAAGCAAAGAAATTTGCTCAAAAAGAATTAACGCATAAAATGGCAAATAACTCAAGAAACAGTTGTTTCCAATCCATCAAGAGTCCAGTCTCACTCAAGAGGTCTCCATGACCTCTGACCTGGCTTGGTAGATCCTGAGGAATCAAATCATTTGGCATACAGAAAAAACAATGACACACTTATTACTCCAGTTTTACTCTGAGGAGGGATGACACTAAGGTCATTATATTATCTAGGCCAGGGATCACCAAACTTGTTTCTGGAGATGCGGTGTCCTGCAGATTTTAGTCCCAACCCTAATCAAACACACCTGAACAAGCTAATCAAGCTCTTACTAGGTATACTCGAAACACCCAGGCAGGTGTGTTGAGGCAAGTTGGAGCTTAACCCTGCAGGGTACCGGACCTCCAGGAACGAGAATGGTGACCCCTGGTCTAGGCAGGAGCCAAGAGGTTCCCACATGTCAAAAAGGTGCCTGAACAGAAGCTGCTTCCATAATGTGCTTGAACAGCCACAAAACATCACTTTCTCCACCTACTGACCTAATGCTTGTGAGCGGTATTCATGTGGTATTTCAGCCCTGAATCATGTTTGAAACTCTTTTCACAATGACCACACCTGAAGGGTCTCTCTCCAGTGTGAACCCTCATGTGTTTGTTAAGAAGACCTATTTGGTTGAAAGTTTTTCCACACTGGTCACAGGTGAAAGACCTTTCCTCAGTGTGGATTCTCATGTGGGCATTCATGTTATTTTTGTAGCTGAAACTCTTTCCACAGTGAGGGCACGTGTAGGGTTGCTCTCCATTGTGAATCCTCATGTGGTCTTCAAAGCGTTGCTTATCAAAGAATTCCTTCCCGCAGTTGGAGCACGTGAAGCGTTTCTCTCTTGAGTGAACTCGAATATGAACTTTGAGATGTTCATGTTGCCTAAAACTCTTTCCACACTGACTGCAGGTGAACGGCTGCTCGCTATTGTGAACTAAAACGTGTTTCCTAAAGCTGACCTTTTGAGTGAAACGTATTCCACACTGTTTGCAGGTGAAAATCTTCTCTCCAGAGTGGACTGTCATGTGGTATTTAAGGGTTTCTTTTCTGCTGAAACTCTTCCCACACTCTTGGCAGGTGAAGGGCTTTTCTCCAGTGTGAATTCTCATGTGGATTCCAAGTCCTTCAGCATGAATGAAGCTCTTTCCACACAGTGTGCAGGTGTAAGGCTTTTCTCCAGTGTGAATTCTTCTGTGTCCAACAAGGCTTTTACTTTGTCTGAAACTCTTTCCACACTGCTCACAGGTAAACGGCTTCTCTCCAGAGTGAATCTTCATGTGGATTTTAAGTGAAGAAGATTGACTGAAACTCTTTCCACACTCTTGGCAGGAGTAAGGTTTCTCTCCAGTGTGAATCCTCGTGTGGACCTTAAGATGTTCATGTTGCCTAAAACTCTTTCCACACTGTTGGCAGAGGAAAGATTTTTCACCTCTGTTTTTTTTAGTTCTTTTCTGTGAGGAAGTCTTCTCAGTATCTGAGCAACTAAAGGATGCTTCTTCAGTTTTGAAACCAAAATGCTTCTCATGTTGATCTTGCTCTTCTTCTTCAATGAGTACTTCAGTCTCCTCTTTCAGTTCAATCAGCTCTACTGCGAGAAAACAAAACAAAAAACATTTCAACAAACGTGAAAATCTTGAGATAAAGTATGAAGCATCAAAACCATCTTACAACTAATGAAATAAAGTAAACTAAAATGTCAGATGTACAGCTTAACATCAGACAAAAGTAAACCATTCTCAATTATTTACTGTTTCCATATAATTTTTAATGAGAATTAAGCATATAATGAACCACTACCTTATCATGGTGGAAGGTTTGAGGGCCTGAATGATCCTAGGAGCTATGTTTAGTGAGCTAAATGCCTCTGGTAAAGTGTCGCAAGACAAAAAAGGTACTAGATAACAGGTCAGACTCAGTATGGTCCAAAAGCCCTTATGAGTGAAGTTAAATCAAGGACCATGACGTTGCACAGTATGGGACACCAGGCCTGAATTTTGGGGCTCGTGTAATAGAGACTCTTCCCTCCTCTGAACCCCAAAAAGGTGCACTACTGACAGATGCTAGAGGCCATGGTCTTTAGCCTCCTTGCTTGGGCAACGGACTCCTATGTTGAGAGTCGGCAGTTCGTTCCTAAATCAGGCTGTACTCACACTATGTACAGTGGCCTCGAACCGGGCCAAAGCACGCTTGTCCCCCTTTCTGTCTCCCCCGACGGCCCACACTCACATTACATTCGGGCCTGGGCACGCTAACGTCATCGATGCTGCGCTGTACAGTAAGCAGCCAGCTAATAAAATGCTGTGCAGGTAAACCTCAGTCCTCTGAACCCGAAAAGCACTCTAGCGACAGATGCTAGAGGCCATGGTCTTTAGTTTCCTTGTTAGAGCAACTGACTCATACGGAGAGTCATAGGTTGGATCCCAGCTTGAAGGGGGTTGAGCGGTGTAGGACTGGTGGGGTTATGCTGTGTTAACACCAGATGCGGAACGTGCGGATAAATCGCGCTATTCGCGCGTAAATTGCCGCGTGAACATTTGAGTTTACTCGCTTAATTCACTTCAGAACAGACGCGGATTCGCGTGATGGGCAGGGCTTCTGTCTGCCCGGTGACTCTAGCTTCATAGCTAAATGGCTAACATGGATTTTTGAAGAAAACAACAGTGTTTATGTGCTTTATGAAGACTGAAAAACAGCGTTGATACGTTTAGTGTCCTGTCTGAGTCCACTACATCCTTTCAGAGGTGCATCCAGCTCTGTGAGCTCATAAAAGTTTTCATAGGCTCATAGGTTCTATGTCACAATCACGCCCCCACAAGAGCAAGCTTCTGATTGGTTAACGCGGCGCGAATGTACGCTGAAGTTCATATTTTCGAATTCGAGAGATTCGAGAGATTCGCGCGAAGCGCTCGTTAAGCACGTCAAACGCGCAAAACTCTCAATTCGCCCCGCGTCATTCGCGCAATTTGCGTCACGCCATTCACGCGTATTGCGCCGCAGGATGTCTATTCGCGCGTTTGCATTGACTTAAAATGTAAATTACTCGCGCTTGACACCATGATGATTTAATCCTTGGACACAGAAGCTTGCTCAAAAGGGCCCCCCGCCCTGCACATTTGTATGACTGTTTTATTTGACAAAAAGATTGTGGGGTGGGGTGGGGGATAATGGAGAGCCACTGCATTGAATAGTGATCTCCCTAATGCTCCCCAGGCAGCCAACTGCTCCACTTATGTCACTTATGATAAACGCATTTGCTAAATGCCTAAATGTAAATGTCACTGGGGAAAGAGCTTGAGCTGGTGCCGGACGTTGAACTGTACTGATTGGAGATAGTCTGGCTTACCTCCACGCATTGATGTACTGGTAGAAAATAATTTTTAAAAAGCTGTGAGAATGAAAGCCAACCTGTTATCTGCTCAGCATCTTCATGTTTGACTGTGAATGTGTCTTCAATCTTCAGGTCTTCACTCTCCTCTTTAATAAAGGCCATCTTTATAATAGTGGAGCTCAGTCGCTTCAGCAGGAGTTTCTCTGTCTGTTTAAGAGGAGAAGAATCAACACAAACAAGAAGAAATCAACACTAAACATCTGTCTGTGTCTCAATCACTTCTCTAGCTCACTAGTCAGAATCACTCAGAATAAAGAATAAAACAACTCTTTAACTTTGTTTTATAGTGATCTGTAAATTACACTGCAAACAATATTAGTTTCTACCTCACCCTTAGCAGGTGTCCCATAATGAGGTGAGGTTTATATGATTTATAGAGAACCTATTGTCTTAGAGTGCTTGTTTTTAGTGGGTATGCAATGCATTATGGGTACTGTGGATTTGGAAAAGCCTGTCATTATAAACTTGCTCCATTTAAGACCTGCCTTGTTCAAAACAATGCACATGTGTGACTAACACTGATTTGTGATAGTTTGTATGTTTTGTGCTCAGAAATTTGTTTACAGAACTGTTAATAGAGGATTTATATAACACTTCCTCTACAGCAGCAGCGAAATGTGTAAAATCATGTCAAAAACACTACAGTGATGTTAAATCCAGTTGTAAAACACCCAAAACATACAATAGCCACTGTATTTTAATGTGATACTTCTAATATTTGATCATATTAAATACCACATTTAATAAGGGGAGAATCTTCTGTTGCTCCTGTAGAGATGTGGTTCACTCTCACTAAATCACCTTCATTAACATTTAAGTAAAGTATTAGAGTGCCGACATCAATAATAATAAGAGAATTCACAAACAAATGAATGACTTGCCTGAGCTAGTGATGTAGATACAAACACTTCAGATGAAAAATTCTTCCTTCAGCTGAATCACAACAAAGGAAGTGCGGCGCAGCTTGATGACGTCACGCAAAGAGACCAAAATAAAAGTTCCCCATACACAACTTGTATGCAAAACCACAAATTCAGCAAAAGATATGTTATATATGGATATAGTGAAATTAATAATTATATGCATACAACGCACCAAAATGTACAACAACTAATAAAGAAACATAGTTTAAAATGTGAAATAAAGTAAAGTGTATTAAAGTTTTAGTGCTTCCCTACTGCAATAAATCAGCTAATAAAGGGTTTTAGCTGCTAGCTGTTTTAGCTGGTCCAGCTTTAGCTAAACTGATGAAAAACTGGTTATATATTTATACCCCATTTTAAGAAAAATACTTTTATCTATATCTCAGTGATATAGTTTAGTCCATTTTAACAAAACAGATTTATTAAACAGGTATGTTTATTCAAATAAAATTTAGCCACTAAACATGACAGACCCTGGCTTTTGGACTTGTTGCTGGTAACAGTCTGGATGCTCCTTTTCTTCTTTGGTCCTTTAGGTGTCCACTTCTCCCTAAAAATGCCTGAGATACTGCTTCATCTGAGCACAGTGCATGTTTTCACTGTGTGTTGGTCCATCCTAGATACCTCCGAGCCCAGAGAAGTGCTGGTGCTTCTGGACACTGTTAACATAGGGCTTCCTTTTGACACAGTGCGGTTTTGACTGGCGTTTGTGGATGTAACTCTGAATTGTGGTACTTGATAAAGGTTTGCCGCAGTAGTGCTGAGCCCATGTGCTGATTTGGCTTATAGAAGAATGAGGATTCTTGATGCAGCGCCACCTGAGGGGTCGGAGGTCACAGTTGTTCAGCTTAGGCTTGCACTCTTGTCCTTTACGCACTGAAACTCCTCCAGATTCCTTCAATCTTTAATGCTGTTCTGCACAGTTGAAGGTGAAATATCCACGTCTCCCTCTCTTTCTCTGAGGAACATTGTTTAAACATTTCAATCATTTTCCCAAATATTTGTGGGCAAACTGGCGATCCTCTGCCCATCTTTGCTCTTAAATGACTAGACTAGTGGTGTCCAAACTTGGTCCTGGAGGGCTGGTGTCCTGCATATTTTAGTCCCAACCCCAATTAAACACATTGAACCAGCTAATAGAGCGCTTTCTAGGTATACTAGACTTCCAGGCAGGTGTGATGGAGGAAGTTGGAGCTAAGCTAAGCAGGACACCGGCCCTATAGGACTGAGTTTGGACATCGCTAGACCTTTCTTGGATGCTGCTTTTGTACTAAATCATAATCACAATCCCCTGTTTCACATCACTTCATTATTTCACCAGTTAGCCCATTAGCTAGCCCTAAACTGCTCCTGTTACAACTGTTCCTAGAATGTGTAGCAGGTCTGAATGACAGGAAGGGATGAATATTTACAAATGAAATGAAGTTGACCAGACAAAACATCAAATATTGTGTGTTCATGTTGTCTTTAATGAAATACAAATCAAAGTACATTTAGAAATCACTACTTTCTTTTTTAATTCGCGTTTTCCATACCGTCCCAACTCTTTTCGATTTGGGGTTGTACACATTAAAGTTAGGAGAAAAAAAAGGACTTACGATCAGCTGGTGCACCACTGCCCATGTGTAATATGTAAACATTTGAAGTACAGTGGCAGAAAATAGTAAGCCAACTCTTAAGTTGATATAGCAGACACACAGTGTCAAAGTTGGACTCAAATCGAACACCACTAGAATAACAAAAGAGTTGGTTTTCCCTCTTGGTGCAGTTGGTTTGGGCAGGTGTGAATGCAGCAATCGTACTCGAATGCGCAGCAAAAAGTGGACCAAAAAAGCGTACCAATGAGGAGGTATCGGTACGCTCTCAAATGAACCCTGAAGCGGTTTGTTTGTGGTGAGAATATGATCCGAACTAAAACAGACCCAACCGCTAAAAGTACTGTGCCTTTTTGGACTAATCCAGCTGCCGTAGGCTGATGCGCTGTGCATTATGGGATGTGGAGGAAAAGTATTTGTTGACAGCGCTTAACCAACAGAGAGAGGGAAAAACATGGATCATTAGTAATATTTCCAGAAGATGACCATGTCGCAGTTTAGCTAAATCAATACACGCCTCCTCCTGAAGTGACGTGGAATGTGCCTTCGCTGTTTGTAATGCTTTAAACATTGTTTTCCAGCGGCAGCTGCGCTTCATTCTCGAAATGTAGCTAGAGTTAGTCTAAACTGATGTATACAAACTATATAGTACAAACTGAGCAGGGACACAATCAGCCAGTTCAGCCGTCCCTCCAGAGTCAAAAGCCACATTCGTGTCTGTCGGTTTGTTTACCTGCTGGAGTTCCATTGGCATTTTCCTACGTGTTAATTCTGACCAATCGAAAATCAGTTTAGGAAATACGCTCAATAAAATCTGGCCAATAAGTGATGTGGATTTTGTCAGATGACTGCATTTTGGTTCTTCTCAACTGGTCTGGACCAAATGAAGCGAACTGCAGATGTGAAAGCGCCCTAATGTGTACATTTGTGAGCGGTGTTCATGTGGTATTTAAGCCCTGAATCATGTTTGAAACTCTTTCCACAATGACCACACCTGAAGGGTCTCTCTCCGGTGTGAACCCTCATGTGTATGTTGAGGTGTCCTATTTGGTTGAAGTCTTTTCCACACTGGTCACAGGTGAAAGACCTTTCCTCAGTGTGGATTCTCATGTGGGCATTCATGTTCTTTTTGTAGCTGAAAGTCTTTCCACAGTGAGGGCACGTGTAGGGTTGCTCTCCATTGTGAATCCTCATGTGGTCTTCAAAGCGTTGCTTATCATAGAACCCCTTCCCACAGGTAGAACACGTGAAGCGTTTCTCTTTAGAGTGAACTCTAATATGAACTTTGAGATGTTCTTCTTGATCAAAACTCTTTCCACACTGACTGCAGGTGAACGGCTGCTCGCTATTGTGGACTAAAACGTGTTTCTTAAAGCTGACCTTTTGAGTGAAGCTTATTCCACACGGTTTGCAGGTGAAAATCTTCTCTCCTGAGTGGACTGTCATGTGGCATTTTAAGGTTTCTTTACTGTTGAAACTCTTCCCGCACTCTTGGCAGGTGAAGGGCTTTTCTCCAGTGTGAATTCGCATGTGGATTTCAAGCCCTGCAACTTGACTGAAGCTCTTTCCACACAGTGTGCAGGTGTAAGGCTTTTCTCCAGTGTGAATTCTTCTGTGTCCAACAAGGTTTTTTTTTTGTCTGAAACTCTTTCCACACTGCTCACAGGTAAACGGCTTCTCTCCAGAGTGAATCCTCATGTGTACTTTACGTGCAGAAGATTGACTGAAACTCTTTCCACACTCTTGGCAGGAGTAAGGTTTCTCTCCAGTGTGAATCCTGGTGTGGATCTTAAGTTGCTTACGTTGCCTAAAACTCTTTCCACACTGTTGGCAGATGAAAGATTTTTCACCTCTGGATCTTTGGGTTCTTTTCTGTGAGGAAGTCTTCTCAGTATCTGAGCAACTAAAGGATGCTTCTTCAGTTTTGAAACCAAGATGATTCTTATATTGGTCGTTCTCTTCTACTTCAATGAGTACTTCAGTCTCCTCTTTCAGATCAATCAACTCTACTGTGAGAAAACAAAACAAAATAACATTTCAAACAACGTGAAAATACTGAGATAAAAGATGAAGAAGCATCAGAACCGTCATACAACTAATGACCTAACATAAACTAAAGTGTCAGATTTACAGCTTATATAATAACTGATCAAAGAGAAACAAGTGTGAATGCTCAACATCAGAATAAAGCACACCATTCTCGATTCTTTACTGTTTCCATATCATTATTCTAATGAGGATTAAACAAATACTCCCAATATTACCTTGTTGAACCACTACCCTATCGTGGTGGAAGGTTTAAGGGCCTCATTAATCCTAGGAGCCATGTTTAGCGGGCTAAATGTCTCCGATAAAGTCTCGCAAGGCAAAAAAGGTACTAGGTGACAGGTCAGACTCAGTATGGTTCAAACAACCCTTATGAGTGAAGTTAAATCAAGGACCATGACGTTACACCAGCAGGGCCCCACACTGAAGCCTGGCCTGAAGTTTGGGGCTCGTGTAACAGAGACTTCTCACTCCTCTGAAACTAAAAAGGTGCACTGACAGATGCTAGAGGCCATGGTCTTTAGCCTCCTTGTTTGAGCGACTGATTCCCATGCTGAGAGTTGGCAGTTTGATCCTAGCTCAGAGCGGGTTGGGTGGTGTAGGACTGGTGGGGCTGCATTGGTGTCGTGACCCATATGGGAATAAGGTTTAAGGGGTGAGTGTAACAGAGGCCAGCTAATAACATGCTGTGCAGATAAACCTCAGTCCTCTGAAGCCGAAAAGGTGCTCTTGCAACAGATGCCAGAGGCTATGGTCTTTAACCTCCTTGTAAAAGGAACTGACTCACATACGAAGAGTCACAGGTTCGATCCCAGCTCCAAGCGGGTTGGGTGGTGTAGGACTGGTAGGGTTACACTCGCATCTTTACTCTAGGAACCTGGCAGCGCACAGCCCACTGGAGCGACATGGGACCATCTGTCTACAGAAACTGTAAGTGTTCGGTGCATCCGTGAACAAAGGCAAGGGCCTTGATGATCCGATCCTTGGACACAGAAGCTTGCTCAAAAGACATGGATGTCCCCTAAAGTACTGGTGGTTAGAGAGTGATCCCAAGGTTGCAGGGTTGAGCCTCAACACCGGCAAGGAGTGTAGGTAGAGGAGTGAAAAAGCCAATACTCTCTTCCATCGTCAATTCACCCTTTGACATTTCCGGGTTCCTCAGTAGCAGAAGTCATCATAGTTAAGTAAGCAGAGTGAATTGGAGAATACAAGGAGATTTCAAAGATTTAAGATGTTGATGAATATTGTTTGTCATAACAGTGTTGTAAAAAGGGTCCATATCACAACTGAGGTGATTCCCTTGAGCCATTGGTCCTCTATTCCAGTCCTTGGGCCCCCCGCCCTGCACATCTTGTTTTATTTGACACAGAAAGATTGTGAGGTGGGAGGGAGAGTGTATGGAGAGCCACTGCCTTGAGTAGTAAACCCCTAAATGTTCCCCGGGCAGCCCACTACTTTGGTGTGTGTGCTCATGCGAGTCACTTTTGATAAACGCATTTGCCAAACGCCTAAATGTAAATGTCACTGGGGAAAGAGCCTGAGCTTGTGCCAGAGGTTGAACTGTACTGATTGGAGAGAGTCACCACTCACAGTCTGGTCCTCAACTTATGGAGAAGGGCTGGACTGTCTCCTACTCTGGATTTTCCCACAGTTGAAGGTGGACTTGTGGTGTGGGCTTGCTTATAGCATTTCATCTGAGCCGCCATGTGTGTGAATGTGAGGTGAATGACTTCAGATCTGGGATAGATATTTCACTACAGTTTATTCTGGAGGAAATTCTAACAATCAGCTTTGTTTCTTTATGACTGTATGGGTCACCATTTCCCCCAGTTCTTTGATTGACACATTTTCTGCTCTCAGTAAATAGTCCATCAACGTAATGCTATAACTGCTGCAGCATGATTTGTACATGTACTGGTAGATAAAGTTTAACAAAAAAGTTCAACACAAAAGATCTTTGAGAATGAAAGCCAACCTGTTATCTGCTCAGCATCTTCATGTTTGACTGTGAATGTGTCTTCAATCTTCAGGTCTTCACTCTCCTCTTTAATAAAGGCCATCTTTATAATAGTGGAGCTCAGTCGCTTCAGCAGGAGTTTCTCTGTCTGTTTAAGAGGAGAAGAATCAACACAAACAAGAAGAACTCAACACTAAACCTCTGCCTGTGTCTCAATCACTTCTCTAGTGCACTAGCCAGAATCACTTAGAATAAATAATTAAACAACTCTTTAACTTAGTTTTTTATTGATCTGTAAATTACACTTAATAGAATTAACAAAAGCAAATCCCCAATTGTGAAGCAGTACGAGTGACGTTTTCAGAGGATTGCAGAATTATTACACTACAAACAGTATTAGTTTCTAACTCACCCTCAACACTCAGCACTCGTCCTGTACAGCAGCAGTGAAATGTGCAAAATCATGTCATAAACACTACAGTGATGTTCAATCTGGTTGTAAAACACCCAAAACACAAAGTTGCTACTGTATTTTAATGTGTTACTTCTAATTTTGGATCATATTAAATACCGCATTTAATAAGGGGAGAATCTTCTGTTGCTCCTGTGGAGATGTGCTTCACTCTCACTAAATCACCTTCATTAACATTTAAGTAAATTATTGGATAGCCGACATCAATAATAATAAGAGAATTCACAAACAAATGTACGACTTGCCTGAACTGGTGATGTAGATACAAACACTTCAGATGAAAAATTCTTCCTTCAGCTGAATCACAACAAAGGAAGTGCGGCGCAGCTTGATGACGTCACGCAAACAGACCAAAATAAAAGTCCCACTCAAACAACTTATGTCTAAAACCGCAAATACAGCAAAATATATAAAAACCAATGAAGAAACATCGTTTAAAATGTAAAAATAAAGTAAAGTGTATTAAAGTTTTAGTGTTACCCTACTGCAACATATATATATATATATATATATATATATATACATATGTGTGTGTGTGTATATATATATATATATATATATATATATATATATATATATATATATACACACACATATATATATATACACACATATATATATATATATATATATATATATATATATGTATATGTATGTGTGTATATATATATATATATATATAAATATATATGTATATGTATATATATATATATATATATATATATATATATATATATATATATATATATATATATATATATATATGTTGCAATCGGGATTTCACAGTAAGTAAACCCAAAACCCCTAGTTTCTGTGGTACAAATACAACACTACAAAATACAAAATAGAGATTTAACTGATTTACAATGATTTGTTCAGGGGTGCATGTTGTTTTTCTCCACTTAGGACTTACTAAGGGGTCTCTCCCGCCATCTTGTGGCAGAACATCAACCATCACATTCTTAGATTTGCTC